TATTTTAGCGATTGTATTTAGCAAAATTTATTAGGTTTCCAACAGAAACCTCAGGTATGTGCCCCCAAGTATTTTTGTCGAGTTCTCGAGAGAGCCGGGCAATTACACAGCAGATGCTCCAGAGTTTCCTTTGCATTCGGCTCGTTGCATAATCTTGTAGTAAGTTTTACAATTTTTACTCTGTCAGTGGTTGTTAAATTACAAACGTTAAGCTTACTTCAAAATAAACATATCACATCATAGAGGACAATTCTGTTCAGCCAAATCTAAGTCAAGAAGTGGAGAATACCAAGCCTTTGGTATTTTCGTGATTAAACCGTCAATATGAAACTTGTTATATAGCACAGTAGAGCTCCTTAAATCGAACTGCTATTCTACACAACAGTGTACCAAATTAATTTAACATCATATAACATTGTCACATAATGTAGTTAATATGTTTTCGTATAATTTTCTTCTGTTTTAGTTACATTTTTAATAAAATATTTAACGGTTCAATAATGTTTGAATAAACAAGTAAATCTATTACACGACCATTTAAGTTTTTAAAAATTGCTTTTTGTCCTTGCCTTTAAATTATGATTGCTTCTAGTTTTGTTTAACAGAATTCTAAACATTTATTAGCTTGTACTTGCGAACTTGAGCTAGCAAACTTCACTCACCTCTGTGTATCTGATAGATTGAGGTAATTATGGCTTATGTTATAGTAAAATCATCTGCGGAATGTTAAATGAATTTTTATGTTGCCACATTTACCATGACACATGCTGTATTAAATATGCGTAGCGTTTTTGCTTAAATGTATCAAACATTATACTTAATGCTTTACACAACATAAATTAACCAAAGGGCATATCTTTATGGGTTCTCGGATCCACGCACAATGAAAACACGCACTGGTACGAAACGCAGCCTAGGTTGTCAAAAGAGTAACAAGCTATGAAAATCGTTTAAACTAAAAATACTTGTTATTGAGTAAAATACAAAAACAAATTAATGCAAATGCATTAGACTAAAGCTCCACGAAATGTATGATTTTTTAATTAAGGAGTATGCGAGAAGGCTTACTTGAACGGGTGTGGAAGCAGAGAGATGTAAAATATTTTAATAGAAAATATCTATACGTAGGAATTGTTCCATACAACCTACATTACATTTGATATATTGTAAGCCATATTCACTATAACGAGTAACGAGCTCAGTCACCAAAGAACGTAGTAACAGCACAATAGAGCAACAACAACACTCTTTTCGAATAACACATTACAATATTACCACATAAATCAAGGCATTTCTGGACTAATGACTAAGGAAATTCACAACTACTTTCACTATATTTTTTATGCTTCCACCGTTCACACGTACCAGAGAAAGCGTTTATACCGAAAATGTATTTATTCTAAACTTATGATAACTTCTATATTCCAATTTTAGTTATATCCTACTTTTGTTTACATTCACAGCAATCAGCTGATCGCAGAAAAGAAACTGAGAGTTGCTCGAAAAATTGTATATAAAATCTTCTGAATAATTCAAATAATATTCAAAATTTTGAGTAATGAGGTGAAAAAATTACGCAGCACAAAAACAAAAAGCCTAATGCTACACAATGGTCTGTGATGATTTTCTCCACCCGGTCTTGCTATTTTGCCCACCTGGTCCCTACTCACCACGATGTATACTAAAAAAGAGCACTTTCCGAGAAACTTCGTTGTTTGTTTTGATTTTTTGACGTTAAAAATCCTTTAAGAGTTTTTTTTTGTGATATTACAAAAGAGGCATAATGATTCAAAATTTCCTCTGTTTCTTTTCTTTGTCTTCTTTGGTTATAATAATAAATTAAATGCAGTGGACAAGAGTTCAGATATGTAAATGCATTTTATAAATCAAGAGTTTGAAGTTAGCTTTTTTTAAGAATAACTGATGTCATTTTTACTACTTATCTAGCTCGTTATTAGTAATAGTTATCTGGCAGGCTATAAACCACACATAGGCCTATTAGTAACCAGTGATAACAGAAAAAAATTAAGTCTCCAGGTACATTTTGTGATAGATATTTTAACGATTAAAAAAAAATTTGGAGGTCTATTCCAGAGACAGAACCAATAAGCGTTATGTGAAATGTGCTAGTAGACCAGATCTTATTGGAACTTTAACGTCGACCTTGTGTGCCATAATCATATATATGCTAAAGGTGCTTTCTTTTATAGTGCTTGCATTTCGAAAAGTGATTCATTGACCTTAGAAACAATAGAAATTGCATGGAGCGGTGTTCTTCTTTGTTATTTACAATTACCTTAAAGCATATACTAATTTCTAGTATAATGAATATTTTTAAATTTTGCAATTATTTTAAGATAATTAAGAAAGACCACATAGCAAATCGAATATTTTATTCTGTAAAAACTAAAAAAATATTTTATTTAGTAACTAACTTTTTACATTAAAATATGTATATCCAATGACTGACCACAAACTAATTGCAGCTGAATTATCTGTACGAATGGGAAAGCAGGTCTGGGCTAATTTCATACTTTTTACGTCGACTTAGTTAATATTTTTGTTCTTATTTCTAATAAAATCGAAACTAGAATTGAAGTGTTAGCAATAAATTTTGGTATTTTAGTATGAAAAATGCGCTGGGAGCACATTGTGCATTGGCAACGAAAGTCACGAGGTGAGAAAATGGCTTCTTGTTATCCCGTTTAAGTGCCAATTAATGTCGGAAAAGCTCACAATAAATAATAAATTTGTTGCAGAACATAAATCATTGCATATTTAGTGTAATGAACACTGAATTTTCTTACTTGGTAATAGAAATCTTCGCAGGTATTTTTTATTTATTATTAATTTTTTCTTTTCCTGAAATAATTGCTATCACTTACTCCATAGTATTTCACTTATTGAAACTAAAGTATCAACTCTCATAAAATAATATTCGAATAGAAACAATAATTGTATTTTTGGAACCGCCTGGCCTCCATGGATCCGCTAACAAAAATCGTCACATTTTTTAATTACACAATATCTAATAGGATTTTATATTCCATAAAACATTAGCACATTCAAATGAATTTAACTCTTCTTTAATAATTAATTTGCCATATGTTGCATTTAACAAATATATAAATAATTTGGTTTTATCAAATTTAATTAAAAGTAATTATATGTATGATGACAAGATACATTTTGAACTGGTCGCAATTTAAATGTTGTTGTCTTTTTCTAACTCAAAGAAATATTATGCAATTCCTATGTATACCAATACGTCTGTTCCACGAGCTACTTGAAGTAAAACTCAAGTAAAACACAAGTAAAAAGTACAAACCAAAGAAGACAAAGAAAAGAAACAGAGAAAATTTTGAATCATTATGCCTCTTTTGTAATATCACAAAAAAATCTCTTAACGGATTTTTAACGTCAAAAAACCAAAACAAACAACAAAATTTCTTGGAAAGTGCTTTTATTTCAGTAACAATCGTGGTGAGTAGGGACCGGGTGGGTAAAGTAGTAACATCAGGTGGAGAAAATCATCAGGCACCATTGTGTAGCATTAGGCTTTTTGTTTTTATACTGCTTGATATTTTCACCTTATTACTCAAAATCAGTTCAATTAGGACTGAAAATATCGAATGCAAATACATTCTAGATCTAAAAAACAGTCTCAACTACAAAAAACTTTGAACCACATACCAATAATTTTCTATTAATCAATTACCCAGTAGCGCCTGCGACTAGTTCTGAACTAGTGAATACACTAGTCTTAAGGTGTATGGAACTAATCGCTACATAATCAGATCCCTAGAGGGTGCGTCCCCAGGTGGAGGATAGGGGAAAGATATGGGTGGTAGGAAAAAAATGAAATATCTTCCGTGAACCACACAGACCGGTGAAGGAAACATCGTTACAAAACCAAAACTCTGAAAGAAAAAATCACGGCTTTATATGGAATTTTGATATATTCATCGCAGCGTGTTTTGATAACTTATGTATACTGTTCTGTTATTAATTATTGTAATATAAATTACGGCTAATATTATTTTACATGTTTATATATTACATTTTTAAAATTATTTGCAACAATGTAGTAGTAAAGGCTATGTTTATCGAAAGTAGGACTATATAAAGTCGATATCTGTTAACAAAATCAACGCGCTATTGTGAAAGAGACATAATATGAAAAACAATAGAACGAAGCATATTGCTCTAAATTTCGTTATACAAAACAAGTAAAAGTAAAAGTAAAAGTCTACTTTTCTTTCAACTGGCGAATGCACCAGGGCTTAGAATATGCACTAGTCCTAATCCTAGTCCTTTGGACTAATTCGTGTATTAGTACCTAGCGACAATTGTCTTCTAAAGAACTGCTGAGTAATAACAGCACACATCACTGACATATGCTTACGTATATATATACACTATTCATTATTCAAACATAATTAAAAATGATATACATTTAAAAAATGATGCGACGTGAATTCGGAACTCGTCGCTGTCATTACATTAAAACAAAAATTAGAATATTCGACTAATATTCCTCGAACTTCCAATTTCAACGATATATTATATTGCCTCTTATAAAGATATCATTCAGGTGTCAATCTCCCTTTAACTTTGTATTTCAGATTCTTTTACGATAGATATAATGGATATATCTTATCTTATATCAAGTTTTGTTCATAGCAATACTATATAATGATGAAAGGAATATTAAAATTTATGTGGTTTTGCTCATAGATATACTGCGAATTATTGTATAATAATGTTTACATTGAAATATATATTTCGAACCTTATTTTAATAAGGTTCAACCTTATTTTAATAGTTTTTACTCAAAATAACAAATTCAAATAAGAATTGGACGTAACCAACAACTATAAAAATGGGTGTGAATACCTCCAAATTCACACTTGAAATTGACATCATTTGATTGCGTCTCCAAAAATATATTTATATGGGCAACACTTATTTTTTTCCCTTATTGGAAAGAAAAGTACAAACGGAAGTTGAATGGAACTCATTCTATAGCTGAATCTTGACTCGTTCGGACGTGTGTCGCATAATTACGAAATGGAAATTAGTGACAGTGTTAATATCTACAAGAAGCGTGGTCGCCCTAAAAAGGTAATCACATCTTTAATAGAGAAAAAAAAACGTGGTCGCCCTAAAAAGGTGATCGCATCTTTAACTGTGGAAAAAAAATGTGTTTCCCCGACAAACATTGGTGAAAATGCGCAACTTGCGTTACATAAAGGGCGTGTTCGTTCCGATAGCGTTCCGATTCCGATAGTTCCTAAACCGAATCGTCAAAATGGTGGAACTGTATCACGTGAACTGCGCAGTGGCTTTCGAAATAATATTGGAATGAAAGACCAAAATATTGAACCTGCATCACGTAAGCTGCGCAGTGGGTTTCGAAATCTTGAACCAAAGAAACCAAATGGTGAAACTGCAGCACGTAAAATGCGCAGTTGCGTGTCAAAAATGGAAAAGGTTCGTGGAAAGTCTGGAAAATCAGTACATCGACTAGCAAATGTTCGTAAACCCAAAGTGCAAAATATTCATAAAAGTCGTGGAAATGCATCACATAAAATGCGCAGTAGCTTGACAAATTTTCCTGAACCGACTGCGCCAAATGGTAATGAATATGGAGGACTTGTATTACTTAAAAAGCGCGTTTGTCCCCCAAAAATCCACAAACCAAAAGCAGAATGCGTCAGTAAAAAGGATATTATTTTAGTACCTACAATTCGTGAAACAGGACAAAATGTACATGAAGATGAGGTGAGTCATGAAGTAGAAGGACAAAATGTGCATGAAGATGAGATGAGTCGTGAAGCAGAAGGACATGAAGGTGAGTCTGTAGTACAAGTGAAAGCGCGAAATAATCGTAAATGTGGTCAAAACAAATTACTTAAAAAAGGCGGTCGCCGCCCAAAAATTGATAAACAGAATTCGCGCAATGTTCGTAAATATAATAGACGTCAATTACCTAAAAATGGCGTTCGGCTTCTGGAATTCCGTGAAACAGAAAATGTTAGTGGAAATAAAGAATGTGTACTACCTAAAAGGCGAATTGGACCTGTAAAAAATCATAAACCCAAAGCGAAAAGAATTCGTGAAGCAAAAACGGAATATATTCCTAAAAATGATGAACCAGTCCTACCGAAAAGGCGCGGTCGCCCACCAAAACATCATATAGTAAAAAGTCAAAACGATCAAGAAAACTATAAGACTTCAGTATCCACAAAATGCAGTTCTCTTCCCACATCACAGGAATTTAATACACGAAACACTTTTGCAGTACCGAAAAAACGTGGTCGTTCTCCAAACATGCAAGAAACGAATACACAAAACGTTCATGACTGTAATCAATCGGTAGCGAAAAAATGTCGCCTTTCAAAAAGCTCTCAAAATTTTAATGAAAGTGCATCTGCATTGTGCATGGATCTCATGCCTAAAAAGCTTGGTCGTCCCCGAAAAATCAATACAACAAATGTAGAAAATACCAGCAAAGATCGTAAACCGGCATTACTTAAAAAACAAATTCGTCAGCCAAAAATCCAAAATATTAGTGGAAGTGATGCATCGTCCAAAGAGGGCACTTGTCCCCCAAAAATACATGATACAGAACCACAAAACGCTCGTGAAAACAGGAAACCTTTATTGACTAAAAAGCCTAGTCGCCCTCGAAAAATCAAAGAAGCAAGTACAAAAAACAGTGAAATTCTATTGCCTAAAAAGCTTGGTCGTCCCCGAAAAATTCCTGAAGGGAAAACAAAAAATGCCCGTAAAAATCGTAAGCCGGCACAAATTAGCAAGCCAACTGCGCAAAGTGTTAAAAGTGGTAGATCTGTGATACCCAAAAACCCTGTGCAGCCAAAAAAAATGTTTAAGGTAGACGCTGCCATTGATGACACTAAAAACAGCCACTTCGTCAGAATTGCTAATGGAAATGTTAATGGTGGTGGCATAGGGAAGAAGCATGATAGGACGCTAAAACTTAAATCCCATAAAGGTAAGAAAACTTTTCTAATAGAATTTTTTTCGTATAAATTTTAAATAATTTATTTTGCGGTAAAAATTTTTTTGATATTTATCGGTTTTTATTCGTTTTTTATTTTTACTGTTAAGAAGTATGACCTACAGTTAGTCAGGTATGAATAATTTTTTATTTTATTGAAATCTAAGAGCATGATATATGCTTTAACTAATAACTTTTATACTTATCCTTATAGATTAGAACCTTTGTTGTGGAATAATTGTTCCCGATATTCTATTATTACCAAACATAAAAAACTAACTTCCTTTTTTAAATAAAAGGAAGGAAGACTGCCGACTTTTTTTTTGAAGGGGCTTTTAATTTAAATTAATTTATAAATTCCCACTAGTATACGGAAATTTGAAAAATATTGAGTAAAAATATAGTTTAATTAATGCTATTATTACTTCTTCCCCGAAGATTAAATGGGATAAAGATAAAGAATAACGATTCTATAAAAAATAGTATAACCATCCGGTTGTGATTAGTATATGTTAGAATTAGAAACTGCCTTTCAGAAAAGATACACCAACTATATCTTAGGATATATGTAAATAAATAAAATATAATATATATCTATGAGGAAAGGAAAATCATCAATAGTGAATATTATGTAGCTTTATTTAAAGTTGAGTGGTAGTGGTTCCAAAGGGAAAAAAAGAATACAATACAATACCATATTTTTCTAATACAATACCATACAATGTATTTGTCCCAATTGGTATTAATTTTTTTTTTTTTTTGCACAATCCGGAATATGCCTCTGTCTGCCTAGTTTGGTTTATGGTTTATTAAACTAAATATACTCTACATTGATAAAAGTACAAAAAGTATCAATACCAATCACGGAATTTATTTTTTAGGTCTAAGTAATGTGCTTAGGTCGTCCTAGTAACGTGCTTAAACAAACATGTCTTCTGCATATCTTATAGAAGAATATGCAGACGCATATAGTCTGTGCGGTTGGTTAAATTCGTCTCTTCACATATTACTTCAAATAAACATGAAAATAATTACTTTACGTAATTGTGATTGCACAAAACCGTTAAGAGATTATGATGCTGCTGCTTGCCTAAGGAACTAAATGGCTTGTCGTGTGAAATGAGTATAAATAATTAAATGTTGAACATATCTAATTTGGGTTAACATAAAAAATGGGTTATATTAATTGCAATTAAAGCAAACAAATTTAAGGCCTTTTAGGAAAATCTTAACTAACTTGGAATGGTAGTTTAATAAATGGATTTGTACATAATAAAGAACTAGCATGCGGAGTCTTTATTTGACCGCTGCACGTTACAGATGCAACTGCACTTAGTACAACATAGAAGATAAAGTTCAGCGAATGTATCTATGAATAATTCGTAATGCTACGAGTATTTCCATTCAACAAATGTAACTCATATAAGCTGTCCGATTTTATTTCGATTTACCAAATCAGTTACCAGCACTTCGGCTGCAGTTTGAGTCCCTGCTACAAATTTTAGAGTAAGAAACGTGCATGCAATCAGTTGAAGACACATGGACGCAGATACTTTATGCTGGTTACCTCCTACACCAGCTCAGCAGGAGACAAATTCGTATTATAAATTTATTTGTTTGGATTAGTGTTAAACTTATTGCAATTTGTTTTCTGAAACCTTATGCATTATGCATTAAAGCGAAATAAAATTATTGTACATAATAATGCGAAATTGTGGAAAACTATTGTATTTCCTTATTACCGAAAACATAAATATTTCCATTGGAATGGAATGTGTAGGTAAGGTTTATGGTATGCAGTTACTATTATCGTGTATAGATGTGGGCACATTAACGAATAAGTTTCCTTGAGAACAAAATTATGAATATATATTTTAATGTTATTTTAAAGTAAAAAACTTTTGTTTTCAAAATATACTTTCAATTTTTAAATATAATTAATTAGCAGACATTGCAATTCCTCTGCAAAAATCTTTAAAAGTTTTCAGTTTTGTATACTTAACTATTTAGAAAGATTTATTATAGAAGTAATGAATGGCAACATTTAACAACAGGTGCATATACTGCATTTCCAACTCCCACTTAACTGTCTATCACTTAGTCCACATTGAAAAGTGTAGCATTGAAGTCTCGAAAACCTTCAAGGTTCCACTATAATGTTTGTTATTCGATGTTCTGAGAATGATACATATCTTTGTCTTATATTCGTTTTCAAATTTCTTCTGTAGCTCTAATTGCACTATCTCGAACACATATATAGATGTTTCCTATATACCAGAGTCATCAGTTGTGTAGCGGTATTTTTTCTTAACTTCTCGCTGTAGTATGGAATTAATAATTATACTGAAAAAAAAGGATCCGATGGGTTTAATACCAGTTTCCTTTTTTTTAATTAAACAGTCTTCTTAAGAATTTTACAATTTTCTTATTCATTATAATTAACTATTTCTCCACTTTGTAAACATCGGTTATTAACCCAAAAGTACAACCTTGAAATACTTTAACACGGTAGCCTTGTAATGAATTCATTTTTGTGTATCTTTAACTTAAATGATTTCAAATTAAGTCATTTTATTGTTTTTAAAAGCGTTCCATTCTTTCGTCCAGGTACCTGCGGGCTGAACTTCAGCGGTTAGGGCCAAACTCTACTACTACGAGTACTAAACCAAAATAAATTAATTATTAATCCCGATATAACAGGACATTAATTGCATATCATATTCACTTTAGCAGTCGCTTCGATGTCAATACAATGAAATTTATGTTAAATTTTTTACAATATATTTAACAACTCCTATGTAATTTGACCATCATCCACCAAAGCTTTTCAGTTCTGTCCTCACACAGTGCCGCCACAGCTTGCCATGAGTTGGTGTACAAAATTATTGGACGTACACGCAGAGCAATAACAACTTTTTTATGTAGTTTTAACCATTCCTAGACACGAACTCGGTTAACAGCGTTTTAATTTATTATTATTATTAGTATTTTAATGCAAAAAAAATTTTTTTTTAGTGCCATGAAGACGTATAAAACACGTTGCAGCATTTCACAACTTTAAGCCCGCATCTAGCAAAGCCAGTCAGTCGACGAGCAAAGAGCTTAACTTCACTAGGCGATCGCATGGCTGATGCTTCAATTAATTGTTAATCGCGCAAGTACGCCAACTTCTAGAAAATTTACTGGATGCTTAGCATTCCTCTTCTTTATGTTCCTTGTTTATAAACTCTTGGCTCATGGCAGATTGCGTCAGTAACCATTCTTGAGAGCCCTTCGAAAGTCCCTTGTTGTTCTGCAAATTTGAAATGAAAGCTAAGCCAAGTCGCTGGTTTGGTAAGTGAGCATACAAAGTCGAATGATTTATGGTTTCAATAAAAGTTCATGTTTTATTTCTGTTTTAATTAATAACAATATAATGAAATTAATTTTCAACTTAATTGTTAGTAATTCTTTATTCCTGCAAACATAAGCATGCAGAAGAATCATAAGTTCAAAATGGGCATGAAGCTAGTAGAATTAATTTCGACTTTTAGTTTGGAAGTTCAAGGCTGTCTATCGCAGGTACTGACAGTGCTTCATTTGTGTAAGTCACTAAATAACTTTCATTAAAGTTATCAAAAAGATGTTTATGTTGCTACTGCCTACTTTCCGCAGTATTTTTTTACATACTTCTCATATCTATACACTTTCTAAACAGCATAAACTCGATAAAAGTGTCAAAAACAATATCAGACATGAATAAATTAATGTTTTTTGTAAAATTATATATATATAATATATTCAACAAACTATTAAAATGAAGTAAATATTAAATCTAATTACTTAAATTCTAAATCCTACTCATTTATCTCTTAAAAAGTATTTTAACTAAATTATACAAAGAACCTCGTGTTAGTGAAATGTCTGTAAAATCTCTATCTCCGTCCGGCTCTCTAAAACTTCTAGCATTGAGAGGTTGATGAATAGCGTCCCTTTTATTGATTTGCTATCATCGCACACACATTTTAAATAATGCTTACCGTCAATAACTACTTTTAAGGACTCGTATTGTATACGAGTCTATTAACTATATGATAGGCCAGCTCTATTAAACTGAATTCTAAATTAATCCCAACTTTGTAACCATCACTTGCAATTTTTCGGCTAAAAACAATATGTCTTTATTACAGTTGATTTATTATTATAAGATAGTAAATAAAGTGCTCATAGTCTTTTTCTTAAGATTAAAATTATAATAGTTGGAAAGAAAACTGCAGAGATTGACACAAATTATAAACTCACGATGCGCTCTCAAGACTATACAACTATTGACTATACAATTGCATTGCTTGCAACTACTTTTCAAACACAACAACCTTAGCGCGAAGAACAGAAAGCTGATCTACAGCCAGGTAATTAAACCAGCACTACTTTATGTGCGTGTCGCATATAGCACAGCTGCCGACTCTACTATCCAGAAGCTACAAGTTGCTCAAAGTCAGGCTCGCCGAAGGCTCTTCAAAGTGCCATGGTATATTCGCACGAATGACATGCTAAGAGACCTTAAAATAGATCCGGTAAAAAAATACATAAGAGACAGAGCTCTGAAGCTATATGCGAAAACCGACAGGCTGCCCTACTTAGCACTATCTAATCTCAGAGTAATCACTATCCGCACGGGGCGGCACGCAGATCTTAAATCAGTCTTTAAATAATCAGGAAGACTATAAGGAATACTTAAATTAGTCTGTGAGATGGGTAACACTCTGCAGAAACTCCCCAGCTATCAAAGAGTAAAAGTGCCCAGATGCATTAACTCGGAAAAGGCTCAACATTTTACATTACAACTGTTTCGGATACTGCCAAATGCTGAATTACTAGTAAACTTTGGAAGTATTCCTTAGTTTAAATGTTTATATATTGTTATTGGGTTTTAAATGTCAGGAATCGACCCTGTCAAATTTTAACTATGGAATCGCTATGGAATTTTAACTATGGAAACTATGAAAACCACTTACACTTAACTTACTTTATTCATATTCTAAATTTAATTCATAGCTTATTTTTTTATTAATTATGTCAATTTTTTTTTTAAATTTAAACAAAACCAATTAAAACAATAAATTTTTTAGATGTGAAAAATTGTGAAAAACAGACCGCTAGGAACGTCAGATGTAAGATGCCATACACTGTGGGTAAGTACTAATGAAAAGGATCTTACTCAAAACGAATAATTATTTAAGCCATAGTTTATAAAACATAACTATATTAACAAAATTTTATTTTATGAAGTACCGTGTCTCACCTATAACTATTAATTAATATAACCTAATATTGTTATGTATTATATCAATTATATATTAATTTATATTTTATTATATATTATAAATGCTAAACTTAGGATATAGAAGTGTTTTAAGGTGCTTATATATGTTTGTTTTAAAAATATATTTTACAAACTATTTTCCATGACAAAACTAACAAAAGTATAATAAATATTCCTTAAGACCTAAAATTCATTTATAATCAAAAAATATAGTTATATATATATTGTTAGTTCATACTCGTAAATATTTTTCTTCTATATTTCACGTTTATTGTTCAAAAAAATTCGTTTTTCAGACTTCAATGAGCATGTAACCCCTAGATTAACTAGAGCGAATATCAACAGTAAGTAAATCAATATAATTAGATCGATATAATTAGATAGATAAAGTAATTTGCATATTTCGGGTTCATTCATGTTCTAAAAAAATTAATTTCTCAGGCCTAAAGCAGCGTGTGACTCGATCAACTCCTGCGAATATCAAACGTAAGTACATCAATAGCGTTAACTAATTCAGACATTCAAATCCTTTTTTCTTTTTAATCCTATTCCACACATAATCAAACATAATACGTAATCCAGGTTTGGAAAAGAGTGTGATATCCCCATCAGTTAGTAGAAAACGTAAGTTAATCAATATTGTTTATATAGTTTACATTAAGACTGAAAAGTTTTCGGAAATTCTCATTTAAAATTCGCGCGCTGTATATTTTTCGATATTTTAAGTTTATGTAGTTTGGCAGCGCTGTCCTTAATTATATGCCAAAAATGAGCTCGATCTGTCAGACAGTTCGTTTACGGCAGCTGTTGAAACCAGTTCACCTCAGTAGTGCGTTGCGAAATGTCTTCGACGGTCGTACGACCGTCCTGGAAGGCTTTGTACCACTCATAAACTTGAGTTTTCGATAAAACTGATTCCCCATAAGCCTTTTGTAGCATTCGCAACGATTCTGCACACGAAATTTCGTTCGAAACACAAAATTTGATGCAAACTCTTTGTTCAATATTTTTTTCCATTGTTTTTTTCGCAACGCCCTACTGAGGTGAACTGGTTTCAACAGCTGCCGTAAACGAACTGTCTGACAGATCGCGCTCATTTTTGGCATAGTAATTAAGGACAGTGCTGCCAAACTACATAAACTTAAAATATCGGAAAATATACAGCGCGCGAATTTTAAATGAGAATTTCCGAAAGCTTTTCGGTCACAATGTATGTAGTGAATTCTATATTCTTTATTTATTATGTTCTAAAAGAAATTCGATTTTCAGGCCTAAGTCAGCGTATGGAAAGCCAATCAACTTCTGCGAATATCAAACGTAAGTACATCAATAGTGTTAACTAATTCAGATATTCAAACCCTTTTTTGTTTTTATTCCTGTTCCAAACATGATACGTAATCCAGGTTTGCGAAAGAGGGTGATATCCCCATTAGTCAGTAGAAAACGTAAGTTAATCAATATTGTTTATATAGTGAATTCTACATTCCGTATTCATTGATGTTCTAAAAGAAATTCGATTTTCAGGCCTAAGTAAGCGTAAAAGTAGTTTATCAACTGCTGATAATATCAAAAGTAAGTAAATCAGTTGTTTCGTATATACTTAACTCTATATTTCATTTTGATTTTTACTCTAAAAGAAATTCGTTTTTCAGGACTAAACGAGGGTTTGATGGACTCATCACTTAGTGCGAGAAGTAAGTAAATCTATATTCTCTATTTATCTATACAATCTATATTCAATTATATATTTCCTTTCTATCCTTGTACTGAGAGAAATTGTTTTTTCCGAAATTACCAAACGTTTGAGGAATTCATCTTCTGCTTCGAACATTAAACATATATAAACCAGTATTGTTAATTTATACATTTCGTCATTGTATATTTGATGTTTATTTAGTCGTTGTCTATAAGAAATTCTTCCTAATAGAAATCATGTAGGTAGTAATATGAATGATACAGTGATTGAAATAAACTAATCACTTTATGGAATACATGATATCTTATATTTAATTTTTAAAATATATATAAATTTAGTTATCAGATTTAAGAAGTATTCGGTGGTCATATTGATTCTGGATGACCATGGCTTGTAGCATATTGAATCTAGCTTAAAATATTAGGAATATCATGACTATTTTGAAAGGAAGTTTACAGTGCGACAGAATATAAACCAGAATGAATAAATTTAACGGAAAATAATATTTCTGATCGAAATGCAGCATATATTGACTGAAAAGTTGTTTTCCACTAAAAAATTTTTATCTCGATAATTAGATGACTTAAAAATATATATATTCTGTAATTTTTCTATTACCATGGATTATATATTTATATAATAAGTGCTTAATATATAAAGTGAGCAAAACGGCAATAAAAGAATCGCGTTTTGCAAAAGTTTGTAGTAAAAAAATCAAGAAATGTAATGGACCAAGTACTCACTCCATATAGTTTCATGCTGGAAACAGACATTTTTCTGTACCCCAAGTTAAAATTACCACTTCAAAGAACTTTTTAAGTCGATTGTCGTCGAGACAGCAAGTTTTTATAAAATGGAATGGAGCCCACACCAAAAATAATCTGCTTGAAATGTATAGAAGCTTGGGACTTATTATAAGTCGACAGCAGTGCTGACACTGCTGCTAACAAGGCTTCCGTTTTCTTTTAGGTTTAGATAAATTTATTAGTCATATGTCATATTGTAGTTAAAATTTAATTACTACTCCTCCACACCTCCAAAAAAAACTTATATATTACATTAAATCAATATTTTAATAATTAATTAATCAGTTTCAGAATGTGAAACAGCCATTGATGAACACGTGGAGATTGAAGATATTTCTAATTCAATTTCTGGTAAGTACTTGCAAAGGAATATAGTTACTATATACTATATATTTCAAACATATTCTCAAATATTCTCCAAAAAATAAAAATTTTATTGAAAATATATTTAAACATAATTAAGAAAAATAACAAATCAGTATTCCATATACATTAAATAAAATACATATCAGAATCAATCATTATAATATAGTTTGTACTTTCAAAGTAGGCCAAATGAAATGCAATTTATTACTACTTCTTCACACTTCAAGGAATTATATATTACATTAAATTTAAACACTTAAAATCAATCATTTAATAATTATTTTTGTTCTTCTGAATAGTTCCAGAATGTCAAACATGCATTGATAAAGACGGGAAAATTAGAGATATATCTCAAACATTTGAAGACGAAATGTACGGTACGTAGTTGTAAAAGAAAATAGTTACTGCATAAATTTTAATTATATTTCTCTAATATTTTATTTCCTACGATTAGTTGAGGAAATACCTAAACAGTGGGAACTTCAAAGAGTCGAAGCGTCGCAACCTGCGAATTATGGTAAGTATTGAATTTACATATGTACATATATAGGAATATATGATCTTAGAATATAAAATAAGTCACATACATTGTCTTTTTTCTATACTCTTTTATAGAATTCGAAATATCAACACTAACTAAACAATCTGATACCGGTATTTATGAGTTGGAAATAACTCATAAGTCAAATTCAGGTAACACATTAAGTAAGTTTAACAGATGACGTCATTATTAAGCATACTGAAAAATTTTATCTTATTACCAAATATTTTAAAATATTTAAATTTTTGATTGGTTTTTTTGTTGACTACATAATTAATAATTAATTCTATAATAAATAAAATAAAACAAATAAAAGTATTAAATATAATTAAATATATCAAATTTGTTATTGTTGTGCACCTTTAAGAAAATCCGTACTGACGATCTGACAAATTTTAAAGAATTTAACTAGGAATAACTATGACTAGGAATATTTTCAGGTTCATATTGAGTCAAAACTGTAATTTAAAATATTTTTTTTTTATTAGTCTGTCATTAATAATGACTATATGAATATAGTTTGTCACTTGCCGAAATGGGAATAGGATAAAGGTTTAATCCCTCAATCCCCCTCTGGCTAGATGCCTACTATTGCAGATTATCTATCGATACAATTATTCATATTAAATTATTTCATGTTAAATAATTAAATTAAATTATAATAGAAGTCGGTACTAATTAAAAGGAAATTCATTCCAGAACACTGATTTTTAAAAAAAATAAGAGGAATACGGGGTGCTTATATTTATTTTGAAAATTCTGTTGTGCCAATCTTTGGCCTGTGAGATTCGATAACTTATTTTTTGGTAGAGAGATTTCGAAAAATAGTCAACTACAACAACAAAAAAAAAGATTTTTTTATTTTAATTAATTGAATTTTTGGCTTACCCATATAGCTGTTTTGAATATTTTCAAATACTCATCATCTCATCTTGAAATTATTTTTTAAAATATATTGGACATGAAAGTTCGTTATATTTCAGCTACTTTCTGTAAAATTTCTGTTTTTTAAAAATTTATATTTGATTTCTAGAGCGAATTTCACAGCCTTAAAAATGACTTATGCATGAACTTACCATAGTCAGCAAAGTTGTTGACTGAAGTAGGTATTGAGACTTAAGTTATGATTGTGAAATCAGTCTTTATAATAATACTATATATTTCGATGTTTAAATTCGCAGTTTGAAATTAACAGTCTTTATTAAGAAATTTTACGAACATTTGCTTACACTCTTACATTATTTTTAAATCACTCCTCACAATTACTGAATCTTACCCCTTGACTGATTGAATTATTTTTCATTTTTAGCTGCAGAGGACGTGCCCGTGCCCTTAACCAAAGTTATAATGTGTGCCTTTTGCAATGTAGTGTTTTCACCTGCCAATGTTAGTACAGTGCAGTCGCATATTTTGGGTCACTTTCGCAGCATCACAAATGCTATTTATTGGATTACATACTGGGACATGAGACGTATTATGGTACTAATATATTCATAATATAATTAAAATTAATAATTTTTTTCAAAACAATGTATTTATTCGATCTTCTTAGAAAAATGAAGATTTTATAAATAAAAATTCGGAATGCTATTCGGTGCGGTCAATATATCAATGTGAATTTTGTCCCATGACATTCATAAGAAAATCAAATACAATTGCTCACGCTATACAACATCATCAGTATAGTAAGATTCAGAATCAAAAAGATTATTCCTTTGGATTCCCTGGCGCAGAAATTACTTATGTTATATGCAATGTATGTTACATGCACTTCACAAGCTTAGATATTCTAAAAACTCACCGGTAAGACCTTTGTTAATATATTTATATATATATTTTATTATTTATTCTTAAATAATTTACAGTATTATGGAAAAGCACTATTTTTTATTGCTGGATGAGAACAAAAAGTGCACACTGGGATGTCTTTTCTGCAAAAAATATTTTACGCAGTACAGCAATTTCATAGAACATACAATAAATGAACATGCTCAAAAAATGAATTGTATAGGAAATCTTAATGGTACATTTATTATTTTTTTGCACAAAACTCTAATATATATAAAAAAAACAAAACAGAGAATATAAAAACTAATAACTTTTATGTTATCTAGTGTTTGTAACATCCACTTCATCGGTTGACAACTCACAAACAGATATGTCTTTGGTTGACGAGACTATAGGTAAAGAGAGTAATTATCTATGAAAACTTAAATAATAAAACAATATTATATAAAAAAATATTCTCATTTACTCCGAAATTACACAGATAACAATAAGACGCAGACGGGTTTAAAGTTGCCGGCTGACAAGTCACAAATGAAAGTACAGTCTATATCTCTGTTGGATGAAAGTTTGGGTATAAAAAGCAACTGTCAATATAAACTATGATAAAAACATAATTTCATTTACCTCAAAATTATATAGATCACAATAAGATGCAGACGAACTTAGAATTGCCGACTAATAAATCGGAAATAAATGCAAAGATTACATCTTTGGTGGATGAAAGCTTAGGTGAAGAAAGTAAATGTCAATATAAAATTTGATAAAAACACATATTTATTTACTTCAAAATTACATAGATCACAATAAGAAGCAAACGGGTCCAAAATTGCCGGCTGACGAGTCACAAATAAAATCAGAGACTGTATCTTCCTCTGATGAAAGTTTGGGTAAAGAAAGCAATTGTCAATATAAACTTGGATTATAACATATTTTCATTTACTTCAAAATAACATAGATCACAATACGATGCAAACGGGTCCAATATTACCGCCTGACAAGTCACAAATTAAAGGACAGTCTATATCTTCCTTTGATAAATTATTTGGTAAAGATAATAATTGTCAATGAAAACTTGGAAAATAACATATTTTCATTTACTTTAAAATTACATAGATCGCAATAATACGCAGACGGGCTCAAAGTTTCTGGCTGACAAGTCACAAATGAAAGCACAGACTGTATCTATCTTTGATGAAATTTTTGGTAAAGAGAGTAATTGTCAATATAAACTTGGATAATAACATATTT